ATTTCCTTCTTAAAGGCGAGTTACCTAAATCTTGAGCACGTATAATGGAAGTCCTCACCTATTACTCTCTTTAAAAATAAAACAGAGGTGGAGCTCTAGAACCTGTGGAGTATTTTCAAAAAGAGAGCTAGTCTCTCTAGACTTCTTCTTCTTCTTCTTTTTCCCTTGCTTTCAATGCTATATTTTTTATTAAAAAATTCAATTCAAAATTTTTTGTTTGAATATATAAAATGTGAATTAAATAAAATAATATTAATGTGATTTTCAAGAAAGTTTTATTTAGATATATGCATTGGAGAGAATGTGTTTTGTTAAGTATTTCGTTTAAAGGTTAAATACATAAAAATGAGAATTTATATAAAATAATGATAATAGTATTTATTAATCGAACCTACAAAAAAAAAAGGTGAAAAATACTTCAAAATTAGGGTATTCTAATAAATTATTATAAAAAAATATTGATTAAGAGTAAAAATTTTCAGAAATATTAAATATAAATAAATAAATATATTACAAATAAAAAGATTATCCTATATATTTTTTAAGGACATGGATTCTGACTTCCTGAGCCACAACCGCCTCATTGGCTGATGCAGTCAAATTTCATGGTTAGGTACTTTTTGCAGCCTCAGTGGCTGTTGCTGATAACATTGATACTAGCGAAAACTTTTGCTGTCCAATTGAAGAGCTTATCACTGACCTTGAGTCTGTTATTGGTTAGGTACTGTTTTTTCAAGTTTTTGGCTCGAATCTTTGTTCTATATATTTATCTTCCATATTTTATGATATTCAAAACATGTTTAGGATTTTCATTGCACATCAATTAGCAAGTAAAATGCAAGAAATGGGTGTTTGAAAATGTGATTTAATATCTGCACTGCTTGAATAATTAGGGTAGTTTTGATTATAAAGTCATTTGATTTTTAATGTCTATCATGTGGTGTGTTTGCGATCATGGAGCATGAGCCTGCAAGGCCCCAAGAGCCCTACCTGGGAGTAAACAAATGGCCGGTAATGTTGCTCAACTTTTGTCTATTATTGATAATTTAATGTACTTTTCAATGTGTTTGGATTGAGGAATTTGAAGGAGAAGGGG